AGTACTGGGGGGTGGGGGGGTTGGAGTTGTACTGGCTCTGGGGGCCCTCCGTACGCTCGTAAGGGGAGAGCCACAGTGGAATCCAGGCTCTCCAGACCCCTCCGACTGCGAGTCCCCCGTGCTGGTCCCTGGGGGGCACTTGCCAGGATGGGGGGGGGGACCGGGATCAACCTGGCCCTGATATGGGGGAGGATTGTGGCGCATCTCAGGCCACTCAGGTGGATTTTCAATCTCAGGATAAATTTTGGGTGGTGCCGATGGCGCAGCTTCTGGGGCCAGAGGAACTCTGGACTCAAGTTCAGGTTTTTAGGGCTAATGCACATGGAGGGGTGGTATGTTTCTTCAAAACCCAAGGTTTTACCCACGGCGGTGGATTCTGCACTAAATCCTGCCACACGATGATGTATGGCTGTTGGTCAGGATGCGTGTTTGGTCCTTCCTGGAAAACAAGATCTTTAACTGCCAAAATGATTGTTAGGTCAAATGCTCCCTCTGGTGGCCAACTGACTCCCAGAGCGGGCCACTCAGAGTTACAGACGGCTTGCCAAGGTCCTTTTCTAACGTTAACAGAGAGATTATTAGCCCTGGTTCTTACTTCAGAAAAATGTCCTAACGTCAGGGATAGGGGTGTCATCATGGTCTGTCCCATATTAGTCGCCCACAGAACACAGCAGACACTCACAAGAAATATAAGACACACAAGAAGCTCTCTTCGTGACAACCAATTGAAAGCTGCTTCAGACGGGAGAGCCCTCTGGGCCCCTCCTCTCCGGCGGAACACTCTAAGTCCTTCAGACGGACCAGAGACTATTAAAGCCTCTGGATCCGTAATCCACCCAAAGGGACGTCTCCCTAGGGCTGTGACTCGTGGTTTTCAAGCACGTCTGCTCTCTACAGTCGTCCGGCCCTAGCGGGCGCACGACAGCCACAAACTGAAAGTAAGCTGAATATAAAACAGACTTACGAACACACAGGTTTGGCGGTGCCGCACAGACAAAGGAATTTTAGAGGATCCTCTT